GATTAAGGAGCTTCTCTATAAGCCCTCTAATCAAAAAGGAGGTTTTTAATGAGGCTTTCAATTCCTAAAAAAAAAAAAAAGTGTCAGAAAATTCTACTGGAAATCTATAAGTTGGAAAGATTGTTCCAACAAAATGATAAAACTCATTGACTGACCTCATCAATAAAAATTATAGATGGTGCTTCCTTCTTTGCTCGTGCAAAGAGATCTCTAACTCGAGATGCACCCATGCCAACATACAACTCCACAAACTCACTGGCCGAACAACTTATGAATGGAACTTCTGCTTCACCGGCCACTGCTTTTGCTAGAAGAGTCTTACCTGTCCCAGGAAGACCCACCTATAACACAAATAAAACCATTAAAAACAAAATTATTTCCATTTTATATAAGAAGGTTCCAAAGAAACCACCACATACTCCTCATGTATAAGCACTGTGTGGAGACATTGAACATGATGAATTCCATACATGAACTTTTTGAGCTTATCATAACAAGAGATAAAAGTAGAAGGCATTATAGGACCAAAAACTTTCAGCGGAGAAAATAAACTAAAGAATAAGAGATAGATCCAGCAAATGGAACACAGGATAAAAGGGAACACAGTTTCCGAAGATTAATAAAGTTGAAAATAAGCCATTGCTTCTATAGGATAAAAGCTTCATCATCATCAGGAAGTAAAGTTTTCTTAATATCAACTCACCAGGAGAACTCCTCGAGGAGGACGAGCACCAAGCCGTATATATCTGTCCGGATTCCTAAGAAATTCCTGGGCAGCAAACATAAACATATAAAGACAACAGCTTGAATTAATAAGAGCATTTACTAAAAATATCAGTTGCTGGTAGCATATGAAGTACAGAAATAGTTAGTGTACCACAATTTCTTCTAGCTCTTCCTTGGCCTCATCAACACCAGCAACATCAGAAAAAGTGACTACTTCACCTTGTTCAGGCACTTTTGAAATCCCAGGACCTCCAGTCTTGCGATTCCTAATCTGACCAGCTGTATGCTGCATAATGCAATATTCAAATCAGAACCTATCAATGCAACATAGGCAAGATACACATAAAACTTGCAAGAAAATCCAAACCTGAGAAAAGCTCACAGGAAGCCGATGAAGAAGTCCTGCAAGGACAGCAACATAGAACAAAGCTATCTGCAAAAGAGAGGAACTCAAATATATAAAATTCTATGTTTTAGATGTATATTAGCAAGCAAATTAGAAAAAATCCACAGTAAGGTTAGCATCTATTTGAGAACTGCCTATCATATACACTTTGACGATTAAACTGCAAAATGGGGACAATGTTTTTTTCTTATATAAATATTTTAAAAAACCCCTCATTACTTTGGAAGGGGGAAAAGAGTGCCCATACGACTTTTATTAATAGGATGAATTCTATTGCAACACAAGCGAATAGTCAACCCCCATAACATAAATGGGGATAATGTTAACCCTTTTTAAAGAAAACATTTCATCAAATACCCTCCGTTAGTTGAACAGACTAACCTGAGAAAACTGATACCAGGGATAAATTTCCTTTCCGGAATTAGAGGACACTATGTCTCTATGTAGTTCATGTCTAAAAGACATCCAGATGTTTTGTAAATATATTCTTTGGCACCACTGTCAGCAATCTCTATTAATTTTATTTTAATCTGATAGCCTTTCAGCAACTAAAGATATAATTTTCCCAAATTATAATCAATCTTGCTTGGACCAACTAAACTGTTACATTACCAACACCTCAAGAGGGAATAAGATTTCAAATAGTAGAAGGCAAATCAGATTAAAACTTGAGATACCTATTCAAGGCAAATGAAGGTAAAGAAGATTCCCTCAACTAAATCTAAATTACATATTATCTAGCAGGAAGCCAACGGCAATAAACCAGTTCCTAGATTCACTTAAATTAATAGCAAAAAAGGAAAGAATGCAACTTACTAATGCAGAGTTGAAGAAGCCACCAGACCGCTTATCTGGAGACCCAAACTCCACATCATTTTCCAGCATCTTTTCATATGGAGTCTTGATATCAGTAGGCCGTATGGTTGTATATACAATTCTCTTAGTAGGCGCCATGCTCCTCAACAAGGACTCCGAATCTTGAAACTCGCTATTACTAACACCACCAATTTCACTCTCTTGAACATTCCCTTCATTCTTCAGTTTAAACATTACATGAACCCCATCAACCTCCACCTTTTGAACTTGATTACTATTAATCTTATTTAAAAAATCACTGTAAGGAACGCTGATGAACGTTGTCTGAGTCCTGGGCTCGGAACCAGGTAATGGAATCCCAGGTCGGAGCAACCGCATAACGAACATAACAATGCCTAACTGTAAAAGCAAAACACCAATTTCTTGAGCTTGGATTATCGGTTGCCACTGCCATTTCTTTCCTTTGGACCACCAAAGCCCATTTTTCCCGCTCTTTACCCGCCTCTGATTGGTCGAACCGCCCGAATTTGTCGTATTCTGCTTCACCCCTTGCCCACCTTCGCTCTCATTTTTCTCACTGGAACTATCCTTCGAATCGCTGTTATCTGTACAATTAGCCAAAATTTTGCTTTCTTTGAACCTTAATCCACCTCCTCCATAAAGACTGAATCTCTCGTGGTTCCTCGAAATGACGACGTTACGTAGAGGGAAAGTAATTGAATCGGGGACGAAACGATTCGTGTTTTGGAACGAAACCTTAAACCGATTGGTGCAGAAGTTTAAGCCATGTACATAAAGAAGATTACAGTATGAATTTCTGCTGCACTTACTTTGAGTTATTAGCGTCGTCGGTCGTAGAAATTCAATCAATGACATCTGGAAAACCCTAGAAAATTAGGATAAACGATTTTAAGTTCAGAATTCCGAAGAGAGACAAGAATAGTGAGAGACTTTGCGGGAGGGATAAATAGATAATGATGGGAGAATCTGATCCGTTGGATTGGAGGAAACGGTGGGATTTAACCGTTGCTGGGAAAAAGGAGTGAAAAAAGCTGGGCATTTCGAGGATTACATAGAAGATTTTGTGTTTAATTAACACGTGGAATGAAGGGATTGGAAGTTTACAACGATAGTGCGGTGACAATATGTCTGGCGCTGATTGGTAACCACACGCTTGGTTTCATTAGGGCCGTAGCTTTGGATAATTTTTTAGTTTTTTTTAAGATAGGATAGATGGGTCCAGTCCAATCAATTTAATAAAAGTAACTTATTATTAATTAGGGTAAACTATATATTTAGTATCTAAACTATCAATTTTCTTTCTTTTTAGTATCTAAACTTTCATTTATTTTAAAATCATACCTAATGCTTATTTTTTTGTACCTCATCGTTAAAAACTTTTTTTTAATTAACTTGAGGTAAGTACAAGGTAGTATTTGTTCAAAGATAACTCTCAACCATTTGACATTGATCGGTCGTACCCCTAGCATTGTCGATGCTCGAACCCAGGACCTCAATGAATAACAATAATTCATTTACCATCGAGGCTACAAGTTTTGTTAATTTAAAACTTAACATACAACATAATATTTTTTATGGGTAAATTACATCATTCATCACTCAACTATTTTCTCACTCTTATTTTGGTCATGGAAGCTTAATATTTTTAATTTAATTACTTAACTTTCAAATTACTCCTAATTTAATCACTCTAACTTTCAAATTTATTTATTTTTTATTTTAATTATATATTAATAAAATAATAAAAATTTCATTGTTATGAAAATTATTAATAAAATAAATTGGAGTGACTAAAACATGAACAATTTGAAAGTTGAGTAGTTAAGTTGAATATTTTTAAGTTTTAGTGACCAAATTAGGAGTGATAATATAGTTCACTGATGTAATTTACCCATAAAAATGAAAAAAAAAATAAACACTAGATGTGGTTTTGAAACAAATGAAAGTTTAGATGTTAAAAAAATAAAACTGATAATTTAATTACTAAATATATATTTTATCCTAATTAATAATAAGTTTTTTTATTAAATTGATTAGATCGACTCATCCATCATATCTTAAAAAATTATCCAAAGCTACGACCTAATGAAATTAAGCGTGTGGTTACCAAAACGAAACAAAACTGATATATGAAAAATATTTTTCAGAAAATATTTTCCTCATTTTTTTTGTTTTTGATAGTTATGATTGGTTTTATAAAAAATATTTTTCAATGTTTAATAATTGTCATTGATTTTTCTTATTGTAATTCATTTTCTAGTTCCTTTGTATTTTCTGTAAATTGTTTTACTATATGATTTTATGTAAAACATTTTCATAACTTTTTCAATTCAAAGTATAAGCACTTAAAATAATATTATTTTATTTATTTAATATTAATATAATAATTTAGCATCATTTAATAAAAATGTTAATTATTAAAATATTTAATATAAAAATATATATAATTATAGTAATATTATATTTTTAATATTGTATTAATATATACTCAGTTATATTATAATAATATATGATATTATATTTTAAATTTAATAATATATAATAAATTATTAATATAATTAATGTTATTTATTATTTTGTTTAAATAATATTATTAATAATAAGTACTGTTATTTTATACATTTAATATCAATATAATAGTTTAATATTATGTTAATAAAATATTGATTATTAAAATATTTCAAATATATTTATTAATTAATTGATAATATAATATAATAAATTATTTTGATATTGTAATAATATACTCAGATATATAATAGATCATGGATATAGATTTTTTTTTTGAATAAAACATATTAACAAACGTTCATTTTACTAACAAAGGTTAGATATTACTTCAAATTAATCCGATGAATAAAAATTTTGTAATTAAGACGTACTCATGAAATGGTATTATTTTTTTGGTGAAGATTGAAATTAGGACACAAGTACAGGTGGCATTGAGTATTTGTGTAGAAATCCAAGGTCACATGGCTAAATTAGACAGCAATATTAACTACCATAGTCCCTTGGCTGTCTATCGGTTTTCTATTTTGTTCCATATTATTCCATAAATTAAGGGAAGCGGAGAAATGAAAACGGCAAAGGAAGTTCTAAAATGGAGGACTAGAAATCCAAAATCACTCGTCACCTCTCTTTTACAATTTTGCTTTGTTTTTTCCTGAACACGAAAAATCAAGAAAAATGTCATATTTTTAATTATGTTGGAAATTCAAGTTTGAGCTGAAATTCTTCAAGTTCGAGTGGGGTTATAGACACTTATATTTGATTATTTATGCCCGGTTTTGTTGTTCATTCTATTGGTTTGATTTCTGAATATTTAGTACGGAAAATAGAAAAGAAATGGGTTTTGATGCAAAGGGTATTGGACTTTTTGTCTGGAAAATCATTAGATTTTCTGGAATTTGTAGTTATAAATTTGTAAGAAAATATCCATTTTTGTCAGGTTTTTTTATCTTTGCTTTCTTCGTTTACACATATTTTCCTTCTTTTTTCTACATCTTGATTTGCTTTTCCCCGATTATTATCTGCACTGCGATTTACATCCGATTTTATTGGAAAACCAAACATCCTAAAGTCCAGGTGGTTAAGAAAAAAGACAGTGAGGAGAGATCATCTGCTTATGTAAACAGATCAAACGAGGAGAAACCATCTCCCGATGTAAATAGATTAAAGGTCCCTTCGTTACGAAACCAGAAAAGTGTTCGAAGAAATGCTCGAAAGGAGGTCCTAGAATGGGATAGAAACGATAGTCCACATGTGCTTTTTTCGAGAGGTATATATGATATTCTGCCCGGTAAATCCAGTTTGTTGGAAGAAAATTCGAAGTTGGCCTTAGAAGTGAATGGAAGCTCTAATATGGAACTTGGAGGGAGTTCTTCCCAGAATGAGACTCGAAATGATCAAGCGCCGAATGAGGCGAATCCTCTCTTTGATAATGCGACATATAGTGTGTCAGGTGATAGCTTCGGAGGGCAGTCAGGAAACCGTCTTATTGATGTTGGTGATGGTGGTCGGGGTGGGACTGGTGGTGTATTTGATGTAGGAAGATTGGAAGAAAGAAGAAAAGCTGAGAACGTGAAGGTGCAGGAAGATAGGAATAAGATGGTTGAATGGACGAAGGAAGATGAGAAAAATTTGATGGATCTTGGGTCAGAAAGACACCAAAGGTTGGAAAGTTTAATGGCAAAACGTAGGGCAAGAAAGATGTTCAAAATGGCAATTGAGAAAAGCCTGATGGACAAGGGCATTGTTCCCCACAGTCAAATTGCTCCCATTCTAATAGTTAAAAACAACATTCTTGGTGCTTCAAATAATGCCAATGAAGAAGGGTTACAAATGCCTGGTTCTGCCCCTTCCGTCTTGCTGCCTACTCAGAATCCATTTGACCTACCTTATGACCCATTTGAAGAAAAACCAAATCTCACGGCTGATAGTTTTCTAAGAGAATTCATTCCAGCCAACCAAAAGGAAATGTTTTTCTGCAGGCATGAGAGCTTCTGTCATGGACCATTGTTTACGTTCGATACCACTCCAGATCCCAATGATCAGTTTAATCCCTACTATGGTGCTGAAAAGAGGCTTGTAGGAGGTCCTGCAGTCGATAGATTCAGAAGGTCACCAGGTAAGCAAAAAATAAAAAAACCAGCATTGTTTCCATTGTTTATATCCATTTTTTATAAAGTTAAAAGATCCTTGATATTCATAGTTTTTTTCTTCACTTATCCATATTAAAACCCTTTATGAAATTTTGTGGATATCAATGAAAGAAAGAATTTCCTGAAGGCCCTGCCTGAAACTGTGCTAAAAAAAGGAACTTAAAGATTTTTAAACTACCTAAAGTTGAAGGACATGTTTAGGACAATAATTTGGTTGTGCAGCCTACTGCAAAATATGTGTAGAAAAAAAACCTCTTTCTTTTTGTAGTGTGTTTTCCTAATGGAATTATTTAACACTTACCCTTTTCTTAGATGATGAAGGAGGTCCCCTCCGACAGAATTCCATTGCTTTTGGAAGTGAAATTGATGTTATTGAGATAGAAGAGTCCAATCACAATGAGGCAATGAACTCATTGGGAGAGAAAAATGAAAAGATTACAGAAACTGCTAATGATAAGATTGAAATAGTAGAAAATAATGAAAACCCTCATGTTTTGAGTGGAAGTGAAGTAAGAATGGATATAGATTCAACAAAAAACAATGATTCATCCTCCTCAGCATCTTCATCTGATGACTCTGAATCGGGCTTAGATCAAACTACTAAACCTCTGAGTCTATGTGCCAGTCAAGTCCGAAAGGCTCTTAACCTTTCGATTCCTCCCAAGGGGAGAACTTTGAGCAAACTTCCATTTGATCCCAGCCCATCTCCACGCAGGACCGAGTTTAATTTGTTTTACAATACATATAGGCGACAAAGTCATACTCGAAACTGTTCCATAGCTTCTGACTTGCAAGTTGAGGTCTCAGAAGTTGGTTCAACTACATTATCAACAGATGGAACAGGTTCACCTGTTGAAGGTGATGTTACATATGATGGGGATGTTGAAAGGGATATCAATTCTGACAATGAAGAACTGTGGCCAGGTTCCTTTAACTTAACAAGAGAGGCAAATGGAGAAAAACTGAGAGAATTGGATGATATTATTGAAGAGGATTCTGTTGAAGTAAAGCTTTCTGGTTTAGACAAGAAACCTGATGAGCCAATTGCATCAATCTTTCCATCTGAACAGGAAGCCACACAAATTTTGAATGACACAACTTCACTATCTTCAAGATTAGATACAACTGAAGACGGTGCCTCCTATCCAGCAAATATTAACCTTGCAACTCATGAAGATGCGACTCCCAATGTTTCAGAAAATATATCACCTGAAGATCTGGGAAAAACCGCACAGTTAACAGAGAAGTCGGTGGTTCGTTCATCTCCCGAGCCTTGTTTCCAGCAGCCAGAGGTCAGTTAGTTATTTCACTACTGTTCTGAGGTATTGAGAATATAAACCATAATTCCCAAACTCTTTATTTTTCCTGAAGTAAATGTTTTCTTTGAAACTTGTTTGCAACACATTGATATTGGAATATGATCCTCCAAATATATGAGTATACTATTGTCGGATATATATACTTGTATCAGGCACTCATCTCAGATTCTAATCTAAGTAATATAAATAGTAAAATAAAGCAAACACAAAACTTTAGGATTGATTAACAATTTAGCCTGTGGTCTGTTAATCATTTCATTTTGGAGAAATAAAAGCAAACATAACATTCTGAACTTTTAGCATTGAAATGAAATGAGATCAAGTTTTTCCTCATATCCAGTTATTATTTAGGCCTACTTCTGTGTTTGCAACTTTATTATCTCCTCTGTGGAAGTTAGACAATTGTTTTACCTTTATTTGCCGCTGATTTCTGAATATCAGGAAATGGTGTTAAACTAACCTACTGTAATTTTTATTATTCAACAGCAGAAGCCTACAGAAGAGTTGAACATTGTTTGTAATGTGAAGCCGATAACTCAAGGAGATGCTAACACTTTAGAGTTAAAGTCATCTGAAACCAGAGATGATGGAGCCCAAGCATTCATCGAACCTGCAGCTTTAGGAGAGATGAGAAAACCAGATGAGGCGATCAATTCAGATTCCTGCAAGTACAAGCACGGAAATATGGAAACATCTCATGAGTCTACAAGAACTATAGACTCTCAAAAGAAGATGGAGGAAAGCCAACCGTTGAAATATATCGAAGAAGATACTCATAACTTAAGTAAGAATGACACTGCAGATGCACCAAATGCAGTTCAAAGCAGAGACCAACCTTCAAAGAATATTGGACAAGATACTCAAAACTTAACTGAGTATAATAACGGGGATGCACATAATGTTGTTCAAAGTATAGTTAATCAAAATATTGCAGAGGATAACATTTCTGGAGTGGAAGAAAGATTAGAAAGTTCTATTGCAATGGATCTAACTCAAAGATTGGCGATTGAACAAACTCATCTCAGCTCGTGTGCATTGCCAAGGTCCGTGTTACCACAAAACATCCTGGTACAGAGAATACCCATATCAAATGCGGAGCAACAAAGACAAAACGGTCGGCCACAATCTGAAATGGAAGACATAGAGAGGTACAATTCAGCAAGCAACCAACCACAGGAGAGCTCAACTTTTAACATGCCCCCAATTTCACGGCATTTGGTTGAGAATTCAATGGATCACTCGTCCAGTAATTGCAATCCTGGAACATCAGAGGTCTGTATGAGAGTATCAATAACTCATATTTTTAATGCATTTCACTGTTCATGAAATCATATTTAACGTTTGAAGTTTATGAATTCACATCTGGAAATAAATACTTTTTCCGTTTTCTTTTGTTCCTACACCTCCATTCTCTGCACTGTACACTCGTATGCATGTGTATTTAGTAGTCTTAAAGTACAGTTTTAGCATGTTTTGACTCTCATATTTACCTAAACTTGAACAGGGGTCGTCTAGCACAACAAAGGAGAGTCCTATTGGTAGCCCTGTCCATATCCTGAATGAACTTGTCCTAGAAGGCACTCATGGCAAGGAAGATTCTTCTACAAAATCCAGTAAAGATGAATCAAAAACTTCAACGAATTCAATGGATGTGAAAGAACCATCAAAACCATCCGGTGAAAGTAATCCTGATTTTATCGAGCTTCTTGGAGAATCAAAAAATCTGACTGTACATAACTCTGGAACTGATTTATCAAAATCAAATGAAGAAAATGCTAAGTCAGATGGTCCTAAAACTATGGTGACAGAAAAGGTAATCCCACTAGAAGGCACACATGGCAAGGAAGATTCTATGAAATCCAGTAAAGATGAATCACAAACTTCAAAGAGTTCAAAGGGTGCAAAAGAAGAATCAAAACCACATTGTCAAAGTAATCCCGATTCTAACGAGCATATTGGAGGATCGAAAAAACTGACTGAACATAACTTTGGAACTGATCCATCAAAACCAGAAAAAGGAAACGCTAAATCAGATGATCCTAAAACTTCGGAGACAGAAAAGGTAATCCCACTTCTTAATCTTGGCACTCAATTGCAACAACAATACAGTATCCTTTGATTTTATGTTTTAGTAACTTTTACATCACATCATTGTTTCTCATTTATGTTTCATGGAATTGTCCCCTTTTAATTTGTAATAGATGAAAATCTTATATCAACTAGCTATGCTGTAAACTAACGAAGCATGTTTCTGGTTAGACTCTATCAAACCACCAAACTTTTCTTCTGTTCCCAACTATTTAACTCTACTTAGTGATCAGTTAGTTATATTAGCTAATCATTCTTTACTGACATTGAGTTGAAACCTTTCTATGAAGTCTGCAGCAGAAATTGATCTAATCTGCAATGTAATTGAGTCCTTAACCGATAAGATGACCAACAGCAAGAGCTTGAACCATGTTCTTGATGGAGAAGGTGATCCCAAAATATCAAGCAGCCAAAAGGCTATCAGGATACTATCAGGGAACAGTGGGGCAACTAGCGCAGGATCTGTTAACGATACTGAACATGAATCCAGAACATTAGCCAAAGCCGATGCCAGTGCTGGGCTATCTACTTCAAATGGAGAAAGTAACAGCTTGAAGGACATTAAAAATAGTGGAGATGCACAAAAATTGAGTAGTCAAGAAAGTGTCTCAGGTGCAATGGAATCAAAGGAGGATAATCTCAAGGCCATTGGTGAAAGCATCTCAGGTGTAGATAATACTGCAAAGGATATGTTGGTAGACCATACTGCTTCCATAGAAGCATCTGAACCGGAAGAATCTAAAGTCAAGGCCTTCAACACCAAGGAAAATGATCGCAACGAAGTGGCAAAATGAGGCAATATGCACAATATTGGCACATCTAGAAACCATCAGTTCCGGGACAACAAAAAGTTTAGGGTAACTTTCACCATAGAGAAAAGCTGAAACTCTTCCATGAATCAATGTAAGAAGACATATACTGTAAATCTTGAACCTATAGACAAAAGTAGGATATACATATAAACTAGAACTGCAAATATATACTAAAAAAAGAAACCCCAATTATTCCATTTACCTTGAAGTGAAGTTGATGTTCTTGTTCGTTTGCATCATAAACTGAATGTTACAGTTGAGAGGAAATAAATTTCTTCAATTTTTTACCTAAGAAACACCTAGGAGGTTTCTCCGCTGTAACAATGCTCAACGACTAGAGAACTTGAAATGTTATTTTTATTTAGGACCCAGGCTTTTAGTTTTTGCAGTTTTGCTTTAAGCCTACACTCCATTATTGAAATATTCATACCTGACACATGTATTCAATACATAATCGGACATATGTATAAGAACACTAAATGTGAAAGGAAGCTTAAAGAATTGAAATCTCTATATCAAATTAATATATACTCGTGATATTCATTTCAACTTAGGTAACGTGAAAAACAGTTTTTTTCTTTCTATTTGATATATGTTTTGAATTAAATTAAATTAAATACTTGTTCTTTTTTTGTTTGAGGATATATTAAATGATTATTTTATAATTCATATTATAAATTGCCTAATATTTATAGATATGGATAATAACTTATCAGTATAGAATAATACATATATAACCTTTTAACTATAGTAAAATGTTTATTTTATAAATCAGTTTGTACATCTTATCCTACGAAAATTTTAAATTTTGAGAGCAGGTGATAATTCGAATAATTCCTTATAAAATAATAATATAAATTTTTAAATGTTAAAAAGATTAAAATTAAGAAGTCAAAGAGGACCTGCTGCATTATGAAAAAAAAATAATAATGATAATCTGTAGGACCCTTACTAACCCTGCTGTTTAAAATTAGGCTTCAAGCTGTTAAAAAATAGTTTCTAATAGTAATAAACATTTATCATAGTTTGTTAAGATTTCGATAATTTGAAATTTAATAACTTAGTTTTATAATTTGAAACTGGATATCTTAATTACAATTAACCTATTATTATCATTATCATCTGACTGGATTAATCTTGTAACTGAATAATCACACAATGTTCGTTATTTTCAATACTTTGTTCATCTTTATCTCAACTTAGATATTATCTTACTGAAATCTTAAATTAGGTAAAAACTAGAAGCTTTTACTGTTTTTTTTTAATAATGGCGGGTGGTGTAATCGCCGCTGATTCCGGGAGTAACCAAGACTTTCCGGCGAAGCTCACCGGCCAAGTCCTTATAATTTGCACCGCCATAGCTGCCTTTGGCGGTTTAATGTTTGGCTACGATATTGGAATTTCAGCTGTCTTAACTACTAATTAAAGTTATTGTAGATCGTATGTTTTCAGTTTTCATTTTTTTTATATTTCAGCGGCATTTATCTTGAAGGAGGGATGGATGCAAAATTTTTATAAGAGAGCGGCGAATATAAAAAATCATATTAAGGAATTTGTGTTAGAGAGCGACGAATATAAAAAATTATATTAAGGGGTGTGAGATTATAAAATTTTAAATATGTGAAATCAAATAATTCATATAAAATATAAAGAAAATACTAATATATAAGAGAATTTAAAATTTATAGGGTGCATACACCCATCCATTCATGCTTGAAAGCGTCGCTAATTGTGAAAGATGACTCTTTATTAAACGCCACAAAATCGCTAACTATTTTGCTATATATATGTACAGGAGTGACAGGGATGGATGAATTCTTGATGAACAACAACAAAACCCTATTCTCATATGCAATGGGGTAAGAGGGAGCTAGGGTAGTAGGATGCCTCCAACGCCAGATTGAGAGCAACTTCCGTGAAAGACCTCTGACAGTAATAAAGATAAAATGCAATGCATGTATAAATAAATAAATAAATACATAGTTAAAACAGTCTTCATATGCAGTCTTCATATGCTCGTCTGTAATGGGGGTAATCCCTGCAAATAAATCCATACGTAAAAATCTCTGCATATATACAGAAAACGTAAGACCCAGCTAAAATTAAAAAGAGGAAACCTGAAGAGGAGGATACACAATAGTCAAGATAGTTGAAGAGGACGAATTCTTGATGAAGTTGTTCCCTAATGTATACATTAAAAACCACCACGCCCAAGAAAACAACTACTGCAAGTTCGTCGATGAATATCTTCAACTCTTCACGTCGTCCCTCTACTTAGCCGCCATCGTCGCCAGCTGCACAACCTCCTTTATATGCAAGAAATTTGGTCGAAAACCGACCATGCAAGTCGCCTCTGTCTTCTTCTTCGTTGGAGCTATTCTCAATGTTATGGCCAGCAAACTCAGTATGTTAATCCTTGGAAGGTTTTTCCTTGGTGCTGGTGTAGGATGTGGTGACCAGGCAGTCCCACTGTTCATACAGAAATTGCACCGACGAAATATAGAGGAGGACTCAATATTTGCTTCCAGTTGCTTATCACTACCGGCATTGTAACACCCCCAACCCGTATCCGACCAGGATACGAGTCCGAAGTGTCACATTGACTTTTCAAAAATTTATTCGTATAAAATAGTGAGTAATTTAAAACTTTTGTACATGTAACTTATTCAAAATATTTCCAGAACTATTCAGAGCTTAAATATTTTTGACAAAACCGATCAGAGCATATACAATTCAAAAACATTAATTACATGCCAACTATTTTCAATGTACAGAATACATCTAATTCAAGAGATCTTTTCTGATCTGATCTTCGGTAAGAAGTAACTGACCTGTCTTGTTCCTCTTTACTTTTCTTTTCGCTTTCCAAACCTACGTGTGAAGCAATCACACGCTAAGTCGATGACTTAGTGAGGCATATAAAAACATATAATATTTCATATAACATAAAGCATACATAAACATATACCATCATTATCATAATCTCTATCATTATCATTAAGAAACACACATAACATCATATGGTTCATGTAACACATTTCAAACCACTTACACTTTGATAACCATTTATAAACCCATCGTATACATATCACATTCAGTATGCTTGTTTAATCACTTTATTAGCCCATGTACACTAGTGAGAACTTAAGGTATGTGAGTACATTGAGGTTGTGCACACATATGCTGTCACCACAGCTCGATCAATGTCCCGAAGGACCAGTCCATAGATTCTGAAGAACCTATGTAATCAGTCCATATGTCCCGAAGAACATAGGTAAACAGTCCATATGTCCCGAAGAACATAGGTAAACAGTCCATATGTCCCGAAGAACATAGTTAAACAGTCCATATGTCCCGAAGAACATAGGTAAACCCTTGACCCTTGGCATGCCAACTATACCCCTAGCTCTCATATAACATAACATGGGCATTATCATTTATAACAGTTCACATTACTTATTCATATTCTTTCTCTTATAAACACATATTTTTTTCTTTTCAGTCACGTATCACATGTACGTGTAATCATTAATCTCATAATCACATGTTCCTTATCTTCTGTCACATACCACATGTATGTGTAAACATATATCTAATAGCATATGTTGCATGTAATCACATAGATCGTATCATATAGCTTCATTTATATCACATATTCATATAAGCTCATAGCTTCTTTCACATATACATGAAATCACTTAGTCTATTTTCATGTAATTCTTTTCACTTCTCATATGATTTTATATTCATATCTCACATAGCTCATATCACCTTGCATTGTTTCATATAAACATAGATGTCATATCTTGTTCGCATATATTTTCCATATAACTCATATATCTCATAGTTCTTTCACATAGCTCACTATCATATTTTCATATCATATATCTTATAATAGATTCTTATATCCTCATTTGTTTCCTTTCTACCTATTCATAATCACATATTCATATAATTTATTATCATATCATATGGTTTATATCATCATAACATATCACATATTCACATTAACCATATAATACATATATACAATAACATGTCAACACATGTAAATCATACACATATATATTTCTATTTATGAATTCATGCATTTTACTATGGAAATAGACTTGTCGCAAGTCTTATTTCCATTTAACATCATATAATACTAATATGCACTCACCTGGCCTCACTAGTCCATTCCAATCTCTTATCTTCCCTTTTTTTTATCGATATTACTTGTCAATGATTCTGGAACTCGTTTAGGCTCTGAATCTACATAATTATACATTTTAAGACAATTATTAGATACCTACACCTTGTAATTGGATACTAGCAACTTAAACAAACTTATTAAACCAATATTCACATTTTTCCTTTAGGGGGAATCGGTTCCCTCCTGTGGGGGTATCGGTTCCCCCTTGACATTCTGTAAATTCTGGTTCGTTTGAGGGGGTATCGGTTCCCCTTGAATGGGTACCGATTCCCCTTGCCCAGAAATCACATTTTTGAGCTCGAAATTCACTTCATTTCAGCTTAAACCTTCATATTTTACTTCCTTTAATATTCCTAACTTCCATACACATATTTAAACTCATTTATATTCCATAATCACTTCGTTAAACCCAAAATTCCATCATTGACATGGCATTCAAGAATCACACTAAATTTTCAGTGTGTTCTAATTCCAATTCTAACACTTCATACTTCTTAATTAGATTGATGACAAGTCAAATTCATCCATAAAACTTCAACAACCATACCATATCAAAATTTCATCTTAAAACTCATATTACAAATTCCTTCTTAATTCCTCTATCTTATTGTTTAAATCCCATATAAGCTTTCCTTAAGCTTATTTAATACCCAAAGAATCAAAACTAAGCTTAAAACTCAAGAATTAACCAACTGAAATTAAACTTACCTATTGTAGCTAAGCCCCACGTGAAGAAGAGAAAGCAAGAAGAAGAAAGCTTCCAGATAGCTCTCTTCCCACGTTTTTCACTCTTATAAAAGGGGGAAAAATATCTTTTAAAGGAAAAAGACCATAATACCCTTAATTTCCTTTAATAATTACTAAATAACCTTCATCATATATATCCAATAATCATTGAACTATTTCATTCTTATACTTTAGTCACCAAATTCTGAAACTTTACAATTTGGTCACTAACCCGGTATTGCGAATGTTACAAATCTCCCCTCCTTTTTAAGAAAATTCGTCCTCGAATTTTCACTGCACATCTTAATAAGAACATATCTTCTAATGTTCTTATGTTGCTTCCCTGACTTATTCTTTCTTGTCATCATCAGAAACTTACTTTTCAATCCTTTAGTTTTCCAACTATCTTTCTCGTTTATACATTCATCTTCTGTTGCTTATCATATAAACAATAACCAGTAATACCAATCCATTGTTGTCTTTTCTCTCATTCGATTATGCATTATTCCTTTTACCTTTCTAAAATTCCATATAATGTCACTCATCACGTTGACAATAACATCCATCTCATCACTCTATATCATAAATCCATCTATTTCTTCAAAACTCTCTAATTACCTCATAACCATACCAAACTTGTATTTCGTCATCATTTGACCAAAACACAACTTTAAATCTTCTTCAATTGTGATTAAATATATACTTTAAGGAGTCAAACAATATTTTCACATCACCTTGCACACTTTTTGTGTTTCTATATCGAACTTATCATTTACACTTCCATACGAATCCTCACTTCATTCACTATATCACATTTACGTAATCAAAATATATAACTATATCCAATACAATTTTATCACAAAATCTTATTAGTCAACGCTAACTCTTTCATTCTAAAGTACAAATCCTTATCATCTCCACACTCTTTCTTATACACAATACTATCCCTTTGTTTCAAATTCATAACTTTGATTTCATTCATATAATGTTACTTATCCTGTAGACAGTAACATCAATTCTTATCACTCAAAATAAAAAATCAATCAATTGATTTCTTTCCTCATTTTCTAATTAATTCACCACAATCCAAACTTTTACTCATTCTTTCATCCTTGTCTGTATTACGATACACATAATCTCTTCATATAACCTTACATACTTTTCTTACTTCTAATCAAACTTATAATCTGTATTTCCTTCAAACATACAAATCTTTATCTTCTTCACCACAACACCTTACTATGATCAAACTATACAACTGTATCCAAATCCTCTTCATATTTGGTTATCATAACCTGTCAATATATTATAATTCCATTACATTTTCATCACATACTCTTGTTAGCCAATGCTAACTCTTTCCATCTAGAATACAAACTCTTTTACAAACAATAACCGCGTCACTTGATCTTTTAACATCCTTATGGTGACACTCGTTCACCATATTCCATCTTATCCACATAATAACAAAACTACTCTATATTGTGTTTCCGATTCAAAACAATGAAAAATTTCTATCATTATTAAGATATGATTTCAGCTTTCTGAAATCAATTTTTGATCTTACTAGGCATTTCCTGAGGTGTCCGCTTTTCATCCTGCCTGGCCAGGGCAGGTGAATAGCTATCACAATCAGGAATATCACCTTTCACTTACTTCGAAATTATCACGATCGGATTTCTACTGTATTAAATTATTCTTATTCTATTAGCAAGACAATATACTCCTTACACTATCAGATCAGAATTTTTTTTTCACTCTTTGTTGGCATATACACATTTTATGACACTTTGGACTTCGGTTTATGCCGAGAATCGGCTAAACCTTAGCTCTGATACCATTAAATGTAACACACCCAACCCGTATCCGACCAGGATACGAGTCCGAAGTGTCACATTGACTTTTCAAAAATTTATTCGTATAAAATAATGAGTAATTTAAAACTTTTGTACATGTAACTTATTCAAAATATTTCCAGAACTATTCAAATCTTAAATATTTTTGACAAACCCGATCAGAGCATATACAATTCAAAAACATTAATTACATGCCAACTATTTTCAATGTACAGAATACATCTAATTCAAGAGATCTTTTCTGATCTGATCTTCGGTAAGAAGTAACTGACCTCTCTTGTTCCTCTTTACTTTTCTTTTCGCTTTCTAAACCTACGTGTGAAGCAATCACACGCTAAGTCGATGACTTAGTGAGGCATATAAAACATATAATATTTCATATAACATAAAGCATACATAAACATATATCATCATTATCATAATCTCTATCATTATCATTAAGAAACACACATAACATCATATGGTTCATGTAACACATTTCAAACCACTTACACTTTGATAACCATTTATAAACCCATCGTATACATATCACATTCAGTATGCTTGTTTAATCACTTTATTAGCCCATGTACACTAGTGAGAACTTAAGGTATGTGAGTACATTGAGGTTGTACACACATATGCTGTCACCACAGCTCGATCAATGTCCCGAAGGACCAGTCCATAGATTCCGAAGAACCTAGGTAATCATTCCATATGTCCCGAAGAACATAGGTAAACAGTCCATATGTCCCGAAGAACATAGGTAAACAGTCCATATGTCCCGAAGAACATAGGTAAACCCTCGACCCTTGGCATGCCAACTATACCCCTAGCTCCCATATCACATAACATGGGCATTATCATTTATAACAGTTCACATTACTTATTCATATTCTTTCTCTTATAAACACATATTTTTTTCTTTTCAGTCACGTATCACATGTACGTGTAATCATTAATCTCATAATCACATGTTCCTTATCTTCTGTCACATACCACATGTATGTGTAAACATATATCTAATAGCATATGTTGCATGTAATCACATAGATCGTATCATATAGCTTCATTTATATCACATATTCATATAAGCTCATAGCTTCTTTCACATATACATGAAATCACTTAGTCTATTTTCATGTAATTCTTTTCCCTTCTCATATGATTTTATATTCATATCTCACATAGCTCATATCACCTTGCATTGTTTCATATAAACATAGATGTCATATCTTGTTCGCATATATTTTCCATATAACTCATATATCTCATAGTTCTTTCACATAGCTCACTATCATATTTTCATATCATATATCTTATAATAGATTCTTATATCCTCATTTGTTTCCTTTCTACCTATTCATAATCACATATTCATATAATTTATTATCATATCATATGGTTTATATCATCATAACATATCACATATTCACATTAACCATATAATACATATATACAATAACATGTCAACACATGTAAATCATACACATATATATTTCTATTTATGAATTCATGCATTTTACTATGGAAATAGACTTGTCGCAAGTCTTATTTCCATTTAACATCATATAATACTAATATGCACTCACCTGGCCTCACTAGTCCATTCCAATCTCTTATCTTCCCTTTTTTTTATCGATATTACTTGTCAATGATTCCGAAACTCGTTTAGGCTCTGAATCTACATAATTATACATTTTAAGATAATTATTAGATACCTACACCTTGTAGTTGGATACTAGCAACTTAAACAAACTTATTAAACCAATATTCACATTTTTCCTTTAGGGGGAATCGGTTCCCTCCTGTGGGGGTATCGGTTCCCCCTTGACATTCTGTAAATTATGGTTCGTTTGAGGGGGTATCGGTTCCCCTTGAATGGGTACCGATTCCCCTTGCCCAGAAATCACATTTTTGAGCTCGAAATTCACTTCATTTCAGCTTAAACCTTCATATTTTACTTCCTTTAATATTCCTAACTTCCATACACATATTTAAACTCATTTCTATTCCATAATCACTTCGTTAAACCCAAAATTCCATCATTTACATGGCATTCAAGAATCACACTAAATTTTCAATGTGTCCTAATTCCAATTCTAACACTTCATACTTCTTAATTAGATTGATGACAAGTCAAATTCATCCATAAAACTTCAACAACCATACCATATCAAAATTTCATCTTAAAACTCATATTACAAATTCCTTCTTAATTCCTCTATCTTATTGTTTAAATCTCATATAAGCTTTCCTTAAGCTTTATTTAATACCCAAAGAATCAAAACTAAGCTTAAAACTCAAGAATTAACCAACTGAAATTAAACTTACCTATTGTAGCTAAGCCCCACGTGAAGAAGAGAAAGCAAGAAGAAGAAAGCTTCCAGATAGCTCTCTTCCCACGTTTTTCACTCTTATAAAAGTGGGAAAAATATCTTTTAAAGGAAAAAGACCATAATACCCTTAATTTCCTTTAATAATTACTAAATAACCTTCATCATATATATCCAATAATCATTGAACTATTTCATTCTTATACTTTAGTCACCAAATTCTGAAACTTTACAATTTGGTCACTAACCCGGTATTGCGGATGTTACAGGCATCCTGATAGCAAACTTTGTTTAACTATTTCACATCGAACATAAAACCCTACGGTTGGTGAATTTCATTGGGCGTCGTCGTCGTGCCAGCCATAATCCTCCTCGTCGGGTCTTTCATGATTGTGGAGACCCCAACGAGTCTAATAGAAAGAGAAAAGAAAGAAATAGGTCTAGATAATGCCAAAAAAAGAGTTAGAAGAGATCGTTCGTGCCACCGAAATTGCCAATAAAACCAAATACCCTTTCAGGGAACTAACCAAAAAACAAAGCATCCCACCGGTGATATGTGGCACCATCATTCATGTATTCCAGCAGTTTACAGGGATCAACGTGGTCATGTTTTACGCACCGGTGTTGTTCCAAACCATGGGGTTCGAGTCCAATGCATCGCTTTTATCGGCTGTTATAACCGACACGGTCAATTCATTGTCAACACTCATCGCCATCTTCAGCGTGGATAAAGCCGGAAGGAAGAAACTACTCATTTTCGGAGCTTCGATTTGTTTAGTTGCTCAGGTTAAAATCTCTTAAACCACTCAAGCTAATACAACAATATGATTATATGAGCGAAACGAAGAACAACAGTTGAACTAGGGTTTCTTGTTTTGTTTTTGCAGTGTTTAACCGGTGGTCTTTTGTGGTGTAGTAAGGGGAAGAAACATTCGAGAGAAGTTTTTATTTTATAATTTATATAAATTGAAATTTACATACCTAATTTTTTTTATAAAAGATGTATTAGAATTTTGTACCTCATTTTTTAAATTTTTAGTTTGAAAGTAATTTTCAAAATCTAAGGTTTATATTAGTGCCCAAATAACTTTCTCCATTTTTATAAAAGAAAATGAATGTGAATTATCAACCTCGAACAAAAAAAACCCACCTAGAATAAGATAACAAAACAAAAAATATATATAATTTAACACATGGAGTATTTTACAATTAAACCCTATATTTATAAGAGAAAATAACTTCAGTGACCGAAAATGCCTTATAATATACGATTTTAACCAACTTTTTTTGGATTTGCGAAAATGACCAACAAATTCACAACGCGAACTCCAATTTCACAACACAGTTTCTAAATTCGCAACACGAATTTGTAATTCGCAATACAGAAGTCAAATTCGCACGCATTTATTTTCACAACGCGAATTTTATTTTCGAATTCGAAACACAATATTAATTTCGCAACACAAATGTAAACAATATAATCACAACTCATAACCTAAAACCCAAAATCACAACTCAGCCCAATCTCCATCTCTCACTATCTACGGCGACATCCGTCCCCATCTCCGACGAAATCTGTCTATCTCCATCTCTCACAGCCACTCTCAAAACCATTCACGGCCACAAATGAAAAATCAACCACCGAGGGTTAGTTTTTTTAATTATTTTTATTTTGAAATTTTTGTATTATTATTAGTTTCTTTCTCAATATTGTATTTTCTTTGTTTTCTTTGACTAATCGTTTATTGTAAACTATTTGTAGTGTGAATATATTGTATACAAATGTATTGCTTATATATAATATGATATATATATTTAGTATTACGAGGCATTAAATGTGATTTAGTTTGATTATTTGTCAATCTACAATATATATAAATATATATATATATAATTCACGAAATACAATCACGACACACTCATTTTCATTTATGACGGGGGCTTCAATGACACGCAATGTAAGTCATAAATGCGTGTCATAAATTTATGACACACAAATGTGTGTCATCTTCATTTATGACGGGGGCTTTAATGACTCGCAATGTAAGTCATAAATGCGCGTCATAAATGCACGTCATAAATACGTGTCATAAATGCGCGTCATAAATTTATGACGCACAGTTGCGCGTCATCTTAAATTCATGTCGGTGGCTTCAACGATAGGCAAATGTATGTCATCCGCACCCATAGATGACGCGCAATGCGCGTCATTAAAGGGGTTTTTTCCTACTGGTGCAAAGTGTATTTGGAACCATCGCCACGCAAACTACGATGGTCCTCAAGGTAGTTTTCCATAGATATGAACCTCAGGGAAACACGTTCCATGCATTTAGGTCCTCTACCAATAATATTAGGTCCTCAGAAATAAGTTGTCTGGCCTTTTTGCCTAAAAAGTCAGCATTCAAAAGTAATAAAAGGCATACTCGGACAACATCAAGGTCATCCATCCGAGTAAAACCATATTTAAGAGATAATCTTTTCAAGTCGTCGACGTGTAAACTGGGCTTCGCCTTTTCCAGCTCAGGAAAAACCCGAGATAACCATGATGGGCGGGTGATATGACTAGTGTACCGACCTACTTCATCGTGTCCGAAACGTAGACCAGTGATTAAGCAAAACTCCTCTCGCCCAAAACAAGTATACGTCGGTGGAAAATGAAACCATATCTCTTCATCACCACGTTGTATCCTATTGGGTAGATCGTTAGTCATGGTCTGAAGAAACAAATGGGTCAACATAGCATAACCATGAAAATCGCAACGCAAAAATGAAAATCACAACGCGAAACTAAAATCGCGTTGCAATTTTCGTGTTGCGAATTTAAGTTTCAAAATTCTTCTGCAAATTAAAACTTGAATGAATTGCATTACTTCAACCAAAAGACAAAACAAAGACAAATACTAACTTCACAGGGTTAAAGACTAAACAATTTAGCAGTATTGGCAGCAACCGAATGAATTTACTAAGCAATCTAAGTGAAATGGCTAATCTATATATTAAAATTACCAGTAAATTTATCATCAATTTAAATATAAAAAATCTAATAATAATACAAAAATTTCAAAAAAAATAAGTAAAAAAACTAACCCTCGGTGGTTGATTTTCCATTTGTGGTCGTGAATGGTTGTGAGGGTGGCTCTGAGAGATGGAGATAGACGGATTTCGCCGGAGATGGGGATGGATTTCGTCGGAGATGGGGACGCATGTCGCCGTAGAGAGTGAGAGATGAAGATGAGACTGAGTTGTGATTTTGTGTTTTAGGTTATGAGTTGCGATTATATTGTTTATATTTGTGTTGCGAAATTAATATTGTGTTTCGAATTCAAAAATAAAATTCGCATTGAGAAAATAAACACGTGCGAATTTGACTTCTGTATTGCGAATTACAAATTCGCGTTGCGATTTACATATTCGCGTTGCGAATTTAGAAATTGTGTTGTGAAATTGGAGTTCGCGTTGCGAATTTATTGGTCATTTTTGTAAATCCAAAAAAGGTTGGTTAAAATCGTATATTATAAGGCATTTTCGGTGGTTGATTTTCCATTTGTGGCCGTGAATGGTTGTGAGGGTGGCTCTGTGAGATATGTGCAAATAAGCAGTGTTGTCAAACCTGTATTGACAAAAAAATGAGGATGCTTAGAATATGCAAAAACAATATCAACAAATGGTAAGCAAAATAAAACAAAGATTTCAATATTTTGCACAACCAGTACATAATAAGCTCCATATCATATAAGCAATTTGCAGAACACATCACCATATGAAATGTTAACATCAGTCCTATATCAAACATCTACAATCCCAACTTACCATGAAGATGGCGTGGCAAGATTAGTGCAAACAAAGCACAAAAAAGAAATGTCATACTGATATGTAGAGAAAACTGAAAAGCTACCTCATATCAAATACAACAACATAATGTTTTTAACTACTACTCTTACATGGAATCATTAAGAATATCCAGGGGGAGAGGAGAGGAGGGCTGTTGAGGTCTCTAATGCTAATTGCTAACCTACAACTATAGTTCAGACTATAGCATACCAACAGAAAAAACAAAACTAAAGAAAGCGCGGGGGGTTGTGATATACGTAATACATATGAACAAGAAGTGCAATCAGCAAAAATGTAATTGATGCACAAAATATTTACTAAAGTACAACAGAAACTAAGGTTATGTGTCTCAGTTATGCCCAAGTCAGTGCCTAATGCCTTTCCCACTTCTTGTGCTTAATGTTTTTCCCACTTCTTGTGCTAGAAACAAAGGGACCACGTAATATCCTTGAGAATCAAATATTAACACAACTGATGAACTAGATGATTTGGACTAAGGGGAAAGCACCAACAGTGAAAGGCAAAACCAGTCATACCAGAACTGCAAACTCTGCCTTGTGCAATTTGGGAGGACAAAAGTTTGATCAACCAAAGACTAGTTCAACCTTTAACTTTGTTTCATATGCTGTCTGCAAAAGTTTAGAAGTCATTAGTGCACCTAAATTTAGCTACCATCTTTAACAATAGTTGTCTATAGGGTTTAGAAGCATCAAGGTTGAGAGGGAAGAAAAAAATATCAACAAATACCAATGGAAATAAGCAAGCAATAAAAAGAGGCTGCCATTCGTTTCATTTTCCATGCTCTCCTAAAAATGAGAGAGATGAGCATATAGACTGAGACATGCAAATACAAAAAACTCTGAACCCAATTTCAGAACACTTGTTTTGATTAAAAGATAACTTTGACCCTATAATTATAAGAGTGACAATATACTTATTTTTGAATAAACATATATGCCTTTTTTCTGAGTAACTCCAACTACTTCAAGTTATTTTTGCAAGTTGAAAGACTGAGTGGGGTGACTAGAACATCAAATTACATCATTTGAAAGGAAAGGGCCACAACACATTACAGGCTAAAGCAAATGCATGATATCAGATCTAGAACTTTCCAAAAATCATACAAGAGTATACAATATACCATCCTTTAATATTTTTTTTGGGCACAGCAGCTGGAATCAAGGTAGGGCATGTTACAAAGTAAAAGATTATATTATATATTGCACTATAACACACAGCCCAAGCTTCAAAACACCCTTGAAAGGTATCAACTAGATTGAATCCCACTGAAGGATACCGAAAGCTCTGGCAAGATTTATTTCGTACAACACTTAGGCAAAGTCTGGTACAAGGATGGGAATGAGTGACAATGAAAAATTTGTTAATCTAATGGTTAAGCTATGCAGAGTAAGAAAGTGGATATGAATCTTAACCATTTGATAACACCACTATAAACAAGTACAGAACAACTAAAATACTTTTGTTCTGTCTCATGAAAGTTAGTTAAGACCGTCAGATGAGTAAATGTCACATGTTTACTGTCCCCAAAGCTTTGCTTTTCTAGTCACACAAGTTGGGACTGGCAATCCTCTAATGAAAACCAACTAACCCTGTACAGATAAGAAACTCATGCAAGCAAAGAAGCAGACCGTTCAACTTCAAAGATAGATTTTGCACATTGTTCAGTAGTCTGGCTTATTTCCTTCATCGAATCGATCACATTTCTCTTTCTCTTCACCTTGCATGTCAGGAGTGCGTCTATTGTCTACATCCCATCGGATACACAGCTACAATAAAAAAAATAGATTCATAAACACACCGCATTGCAATTCACACCGAGCATATTTTCGATAGACAAGGAATGCATAAACAAGGTCATTATAAACCTAAAAGCTAAAAGCGGCCGAGGATTGCCACAACTTTGTTTTAAACCAGAAAGTTTCATGGATTGTGCCAAGTACAAAACTGCA